AACAGTGCAAGTCGCCATGTAACTCTATGGGATCCAAGTTATGAACAGTTCGAGTTATGGACCAAGTGTTGGTCCGTAACTCGTTCGTAACGCGAAGAGCAACTGTACTTTAGGGATTTTTGCTTTGTAACAGCTATCTTGACTGAGCTATATCAATACAACCACCTACTTCACGTGGAATACCAGTGCAAAGTACAGCTTGCACCAGTATGACCTACTCTGATTTCAAACGGGGATGAGCTGAACCAGCACAGTACATGTAAGTACACCTGTGAAAATACTTTCAGCGTAGAGGAAGCATTCATCTGTCTCTGATTGCAAGCTGCCAAAACAAATATTTATATATACTATAATATTTATGTACACTAATCTATATTTAATTTGTATTATATTTAATATTAAAACACTATTTACAAACTATGTCATTTTTCTAGGCACTCTTATAGATGTATTTTTGCAGGGTATTACAGAAAGGAAACCAAAAATATATAGCAACATCATGGTGCCTGGGTGAAATTTGGGTGGATAAGTTCTTAAGTAGACACAAAGCGCCTACAGTCTCAACTGCTGATTTTTTATTTATAAACAAAGAAGACGACTCAAATCAGACCACAGCAGAGAGGGGCATTTGGGGTTCACTATATAGTGTTTCACTATTTCAAAACTTCTCCACACCCAGAGTCCAGATGCCGCCCACATTGTTGCTGCTACATTCTTGTGCTGTTTGTATCACTGAAAACTCAAACCCTGAATCTAAAGAGCCTTTGAACTCCACACGCTAATGTAAGGAAATTCTGCTTTCATGTTGAAAAGACAGAGCTGTTGATGAAGACAATATAGCAGTAGCTCTAAATATACAGGAGTGCTGAAGACAATTTAGATAAAATATATACCATGTTTTGGAGGAAGATTCAACACTACATAACTTCCCTGTGATTCTATGCTGAGGATTTTAAAAAAAATTATGATTTGCATTTTCCTTCCAGTAGCTACAAACATATTTGCACAATAAGAGAAGGATGGAAAGGGAAAACCAAGATCCCCTATGTCCAAGTACAATATGTTTGTGCCTCATTTATTGTAAAAGAGTAAATATGCAATACTATTTCCTAGACGTCAATCTACATTGCATATATTCTCTCAGCGTAAGTTTTAATTGTTATTAAGGATCTATGCCTCATTGTAGAAGGAATAAATTGCATAGGATGTTATAGAATCTCCATCTCTGGAGATATTTAAGAACAGGTTAGACAGACATCTATTAGGGATAGTCTAGATGGTACTGGGTCCTGTGAGGGCAGGGGACTAGACTCAATGACCTCTCGAGGTCCCTTCCAGTTCTAGTGTTCTATGATTCTATTAAAAGCAATTTTCCCTCTCTTGGTATCCACAGCTCCCCATCACCTCCTAAGAGTGAGTCATATCCAGCTTAACTGAATTGGCCTTTTTAACACTGGTCCTACAAATCACCTCTGTAATTTCCACTCTCATGAATCTGATGAAGTGGTTTTTACTCACATAAGCTTATGCCCAAATAAATCTGATATTAAGTTGCCATTGGACTCCTCATTGTTTTTTAAGATATATCTAACACAGCAAGCCCTCTGAGATTTGTCCAGAATCTGAGAGTTCTCATGGCTGGCTCTCCCCAGACATTTACAACATAGTTCTGAAAGGTTTAATTAGTAGATTTCCCTTTGTCGACTTTGACTATGTGCAGTTGCTTTTCACCATGTGCTCCATCCCCCACACTGCATTCAGAGAAAAGTAGGTTGATAAGTATAGGGAGTTTTTATCTGATAGTTTTATTGTTTTTGCATCTCCGGTCTACAAAGCTACAGAATCCAGTCTGTCTGTCTCTCTCTCTCTCTCTCTCTCTCTCTCTCGTCTCAATGGCAGAAAGAACAAGCATTTTCTTCCTAATCCACTGTTCTTTGAGTCTAGCTTTTTTCCTCAGTCCAAAGAAACATGATGTGAACATTGGTAAACTAACCTATCAAACATGCTTTTGAAAAAGCTGAAATTTAGCAAGGATAGTTGTACTAAATCTTTGGAGATGCCCCAAAAATAACTATCAAAATAGTTGAGCTAAATGAGAAACATTTATGTCCCTTTCATTCCTTTTTTTTATTATTTGTATTACAGTTGCATCTAGAAACCCATGGGACTCCATTGTGCTAGGCAATATACAAACATAAAACAACAAGCCAATCCTAGAAGTGTTATCTTACTAATTATCTTAGAAGCAATGTCCATTTTGGAATGGAATAGTAAAAATGGAGCTTAAAAGAAAATTAAAATGTGAGTAGCAAACTACTACCATTGCCAAAGGCAGAGAAAGAACAAGGCATGAGAAGTATGAAACTAGAAGCAGAAAGTAACACTGAAAAGTTCATTATCGCTGAAAATGGCCTGTCTCTTGAAGATTAGATCAACCCAGATGTTATAGATTTGTGGCATTTGAAGCTGCAGAAACCAGTTTAATTAAATTAGATGAGAATGTCACAGTGCATGATTTTTCTGTTTAAAAACATTAGTGCTTAGTTATGTGCTTATTCTATGACCTCAACAGCAGCAACAACGCTCTGAGAAAAGATCAGGTTGTCTCACTATTGTGCACCCTAGATTGGTGTTGTGTTACTGGTAATGAGCAATCAGGGAGGAGAAGTTGTATGACATTTCAAAAATACCTTTATACCCTCAAACATTATTTTATTTAACTGCAAAAAATATATCAGCTTTCAATCAGGTGCTTTGGTGAATAAAGTCAAGTGCTGCTAATTAAGAAAATGAGTGATGAATCATAATCCCAGCATCACTCATTACACAAAATTGCATTTAACATGGCTTTACTAGATTGAGTTTTAAGACTGAAATAAGAATATAAAGTAACTGAATTTCAAAAAGCTTCCAATATTTGATATTATAATAACCATATTTCACATGATACAGAACCTTTCATCCAAACATTTCAAAGCATTTTACAAGTATCTCTATTTTTCAAATGGGGAAACTATAGCGCAAAGAGATTAAGCGGCTAAATCACGGTGCCTGTTAAGCCACTGGCAGGGCAAGGAACATATCCCAGATCTCTTCAGTATCAAGCCACTTCTCTAACCACTAGGGATGGCAATCAAATTAAAATTTCACATAAAGTTTAGCATACTAGGCCACTGAACCCTCTCAACAGCTTTCTTGCTACCCGCTCCTGCCCTTGCCAGCTCCACAGGATCCACATCTGCTAATTCCAAGAAACAAAAATCTGTGATGCCAAGCGTCCACCACTGTGCTGTGGAATGCCCCAAACATGGGTGGTACTAAGAAGAGATCAGGCTGTGAGTGCATCACGCACTCTCTGGTGCTCCAGCTAGCTGATGGGGCTCCCGTCTTTTTATGAGTAGTGCAGGCAGCAAACCCAAATCTCCATTTGGTTAGGAAGGACCCCAAAGCCAAACTGATAGGGACAATTCTGAGACCTCAAAGTAATAATCTATCCAAAAGCCTGCAATCCAAACCACATTTCCTCTAAGAGAGGGTTAAGTAACTCTCGCTTACAGCAAATGAGACATGAAATACAATGGGGTGTTTGTGAAAAACACACACTTATGATGGGAAAGTTTGGTAGTAAGGTTATTAGAAACAGAATCTTTTTTAATCTATCCAAAGAACTGGAAATCCACCGTATTTGTAGACACCTAATTGCATCTTCAGTATTACAATGAATGAAGCAACAGACTCTTCTGAAGTTATTTTGTTTTCAGTCAAGTCAGCAAGATTACTGTAAATGGATTTTCTCTAAACCCAACAATATTTGATCTGAAGAAATTCTTATTGATAAAATAATACCTTCTATTAATGAGAGCCAGGACAAGTTAGTAGGAATCAATTATTTTAGTAAAAAGAGGTCACACTATACAATAGTTCCTATAGTGGGAACAAAGAGGATTGTTTGTTGACAGACACCCTAAATGATCTTCTGTCAAATAAATATTCCACTGATTTTTTTCATTATATGCTGTTATGCTTATCTTTATTAAGAAATATAAATTAACTCTCATCTATGCAGAAACTGGAACCAAACTAACTACACTGGCTTTAATTCACAGTTCTAGTTATTTTGGACAATACTATATGTGGGCACTTATTATGGGATTAAGGGTGCCCTCTTTCAGTTTAGCTTAAATCAATTTTTCATCCATTTAAATTGAAACAGGGTACTCCTAAGAAAATACAATTTTGCTTGTTTATTATATTTGTGATATTAAATAAAACTGATACAGTAATTTTCATACATGTTTTTGTGTAGATAAGCCATTAATTTATGACAAAAAATATGAAAGGATTTTCAAAGCACAAATAAATGGTCTTGCAAGCATAATCTAGCGTAACTAGCACAGGACTGTGTCAGGTCATTTGGTTTCTATCTCTAATCCAACCACAGAATTCCTGAGTGACCTTTGGCACATCAATTAACCCCTGTGTACCTCTGTAAAATTGGGATTACACCTACCTCACAGTGAGATTTAATTCTTTAATGTTTTTGAAGTGCTTTGGGCTCCTCACATGGAAGACACTAAATAAGTATTAAGTAGTTTATGTTAAACACTGTTTTGAAACTTAACCTTTAGTTAAAAAAAAAAAACCACCACTCTTTAGCAGGTAGAAAGAAGTATTTTACTAACTGTAGGTATATCTGAAAATAGACGAGTCATGTGGAAAAATCATTTAAGTGGCTCAAAAGCAGCATATTATTTCTCTTCATCCTCTCCCATTCCTACATTTTTGCACAGAAGTACATTGCATCCTATGCATTTGTGGAAGATTTATCAGATACCAGAGTCAGCTGACACAGTATACACTGTAATAAACATGCACTGTCCCTTCAGCAATACAAAGCCTCTTAACTGCTCTCTTCAACTATTTCCCCAGTGGCTACAAGTCCACTCAAGACCCCCTGAATTCAGAACCCAAACTAGTTCTGAAAGGGCAAAACTTCTTACCATGTGACTGTAAACTGTAAAACAGACTATGACTTGGTGCCCTCTTCTCAGTAGTAAACTCTGTAGCCATCATTCATCATGACCTAGATGGTTGAAAAAGAAAAAAAACAACAACAGGTACAAATTCACTGATCTGTATTACTTCATGTGTGGCCACTGGTGAAAAGACTGAAAGGCCTGAGATTCAGAAGAAAAGTAGAAAGGGAATCATCCCAAGGAGAAAATGTGTTTTTAGAAGATGTGGTAACTATTGCTATAGAAAAGGATTTTTCTTTTCTGGATATCATATCTAGATAATCTCCTACAACACATCTCTGCAAAATAACTAGTATCTTTGAGTGACTCTGATGGAGTCTTAACAGATATAAATGTCTCAACAGATTCTAAAAGCATTTTAAAATGCAACATAATCCTAAAACAATTTAAAATTCAGTTTTAAACAATTTTTTACATTGCATGTTTGCTACCATTAGAAGATTGCATTCCACTTCTTGTTCATCAGCATCAGCTCTTATTTTCTGTTATTTTCTACTTCACATGAGTCCTAAGTGCTTATCTTCTATTCCGGAGTTTTCAAAGTTTGGGCCACAACTTGTAAGGGCAAGCTGCTAGCTGGCTGCAAGATGCTTCGTTTACCTGAGCATCCGCAGGTATGGCTGCTCCCAGCGGCTGAGGTTTGCCAGTCCTGGCCAATGAAAGCTGCAGAAAGTAGTGGCTCTGGCCACACTTCTTCATGCAGCTCCCATTGGCTGGGAAACGTGTACCTCAGCCACTGTGATTGGCCACATCTGTGGATGCTCAGGTAAACATAGTGTCGCACAACCAGCTACCAGCTTACCCATACAACCCAAGACCCAAAGTTTGCAAACTCTTGTTCTATATTGTACAGTTTCCATGCTGTTGCTGCACAACAGACTGCATTTGAACAATTCCAGCATTCCACTGAGCCTTCACAAACCTCAGTGCACTGAGGCTGGGGATGGCCTCTATAATTCAATAAATAAATTTTTCCTACAGAAAGTTATTTAACATAAATAGTGTATGTCACTCATGCAGTACATTTTTAAAGCCTGTATTTGGCCTCAATACTGAAAGTAATTTATGGGGAGATAGTTTTACATAAAGGAAAGCATATTTAACATGACTCATTATTTCAATGAGAACAGATTTGGTTTAAGGATGAAAAAAAGACTTTTGGGGGGAACCTATGGGAAAAGATCATATTTTAGCCACTTTTTTAATCTGTTCATTCTGTTAATTAAGCTTTCAATTGCAAACAAGTGTAATAACGTGTATGGCAATATTTAAAATACTCTATTATGTATACAAATTAATCTGTTTAAACACCAAATTCAACAAATGGAGATTGAAAAGCTATTAAAATAAACTTTAAAAGAGCTGTATTAGATTTCAATACTGCTACTGGAATAGATTCCAGTAAAAATGGTTGATGTAAATCTTATCTACCAGAATTAAAAACATAGGTACAACATGTCTAGAACAATTACAAATATTAAATAACCATTCACATTCTCTACTTGACGTAGGCATCAGGCAGCAATTATGATTTGAATGTCCATATTTTATCCCACATTTTACTTAATTTTTTTTTAGGCTCTACTAGGAGTATTCTACTGAAGTTTCTTACCAATATTTGGAATGCAAGTATCTCAGTCCAAGATGTTACAGTTGCTCTTTCTGGTAAGTGCTGCAGATATCAGAATCAATGTGGAGAAAAAGGCATTTTACCTGCTTTTTCGTAATTGCTAATCTTTTGAATACTAAGGTGACAGGCATGTTAAAATATGATTTTATTAGATTACATTCCTTTTATCTATTTTATTTACCTTCTCCTGCCACTCCCTTATCTCTTATCGAACAAAGAAACAAATCCTTCAGGACTCATGTTCCTTTATATTCTGTTGTTATTTTGGGTGCACCAGTTCCGGTATTCCTTGTGAATAATACTTCTCCCCATGTCCTCAACTAGGCTCCTAGCCAGTACTTTTACAAAAACTCCTACAGCAGAAGGCTGCACAGCAACTAGACCCCTCTATGCATTGTTACACAGGCACAGAGCTGTGCAGCAAAAATACTACTTACCAGAGCCACATGTTGGGGGACTTCACTGGAGGGGATTGCAGGCTCTCAAACCACTAGCTCGGGAGTTTTAGTGCTAGCAAAACTGTTCTACTGCTTTTATGGTTTAACTAATACGACTACAGCAGAAGGCTGCACAGCAACTAGACCCCTCTATGCATTGTTACACAGGCACAGAGCTGTGCAGCAAAAATACTACTTACCAGAGCCACATGTTGGGGGACTTCACTGGAGGGGATTGCAGGCTCTCAAACCACTAGCTCGGGAGTTTTAGTGCTAGCAAAACTGTTCTACTGCTTTTATGGTTTAACTAATACGAGGAGGCTGCAGAGCGAGTATGTGAGGGGGCTGAGTGTACAGGGTCTCAGCAGGCCAAGCCGAGGCTGTGGTAGCCCTGGCTTTCCCACCCTGGGAAAATGACATAGCTTAAACACTGGACATTGGGTAGAATGACACCTTTACAGTGTCGCATCCTCAGGTCTGCACACAGGGGCCCGCGCTTTGACACAGGCAGCTACATCAAAGTAAAGAGGTTGTGTCTATCTGGCCCTTTGCTTCTTTACAACTGGGCAGGGAGTGGGCGAGGCCTTGGGCAGAAGGGGCAGGGCAGCTGCTGGAGAAGCGAGGGAAAGGGAGGGCCAGGCTGGGTTCGCAGCGCAGTAGCCCCAGCTCTCCATGTGGCCACCAGAGGACTGGGCAGGGAGTGGGCGAGGCCTTGGGCAGAAGGGGCAGGGCTGGGATTGCCTTTCCCGTCTGAGCTCTCACTGCCAATGCCTACCACCCAAGCATGTGGACACAGATGACATGGTGACGTCATTCTGTCATGACTCAAAAAATGTTTCTATTTATAGACAGAGAAAACAAAGACCCTGGGTGGGGCCACAAAAACAATATCAACCTCTTTTTAATGATCCAGTTATAGATTTTGTATTATACGATTTTCAGCTGGAATTTGAGATGTGATCCATCAGCTGTCTGACTATGTATAAAGTCAGGAGACAGCATGAGGCAGAGCCTAGTTTAAGGACACTGGGAAGGATTACATTCACCTCTTTCCTAAAAAGGTGCTCTTTCTAAACACAAATTATGATGCAATAGGATCTTTTTTTTTATTTTGCTACAGGTTGAAGCTCTCTGGTTCAGCACCCTTGGGATCTGACCAATGTGGAACCAGAGAATTTGCCAAGCCACAGGAAATCAATATTGTATATCAGCATTACCAGCACTTCCACTGCTTATGGAACTCTTAGAAGCTAGTTTGGGCTAAATTAGAGTTAAATAACAGCACAGAGCACTGAGAGTCAAGGCTGATGGCTGTAACCAAATTTTATGGGACTGCAGCAAACTTGGTCAGACTCATGATAAGTGGACATCCAGCTAATTAAAATCATCATGGATTTTGCCAGACCAGAGAGTGCCAGACTAGAGAGGTTCAACCTGTACTTTAATTTCGAACACATTGGGTAACAATAAAATCTCTAAAATTGTAGTTTTCAAGTAATTAATATTATACTGAACAAAGAATAAATATCAGAAATGTAAATGGGAAACAATTTATTATTCTTTGATAGAAGTTTCCATCTTGGACTGAATAATAAACTTGGTATGTTATCAAATGGGTAAAAATGATCATAGATCATAGATTTTTAAAGCAATAAGTAATTTTATATGCATAGAATTATCCTCAACTTACATCTTATTATATTATCATAAATGAAGTATTTCATAAGGTTTACTTGTGTTTAATAGCATCAATATTTCAATTGTTTTGTAAATGAACAACGTCCTCTGTCTAAAAAGAAGCAATGTTTAAATCTGCTGTGAGCTACACAAATTCTATGGTCCTAAAGGAAGGGGTAAGATGAAGCATTACTGTACTATAGCATATGCGTCATTCTACACTACACTAATCTTCAGTTCCTTCAAAGTGTCACAACCATCCAAGACTCTGAATAAATGATCTCCTTTATTCTCTCAAAAGCCAGGACACATTTAGATAAGAGTATTGATTTTGGAATACACCTGCCTCCTTTTTAATTTCTGAAAGTCTTGTGCATGCACCTCTACTACGTGATTATCTAACCATCTCAAAGCTAAAGAAAATTAAGCTTCAGAGCTAGCATGCACTGATGAAAACACCACTCTTGCAAAAATTAGCTGCTTATATTGATGACATTGCTTTTATGCAGTTTGGAAGCCACTGGTGGTAAATGATTTCCTGAGCAAAGTATGCCCTGCAATGCAATGTTACTTTCTAAAGCACAATTCAGAGCCTGGCTCCATTTGCTTTTCACTGCCACCCAAATAACAGTGCAATACTTTGACGCTTTCTACCCTAGAAATGCAAATAAAACTCCCACTGTACACTAGAGCTGGATAGCTACAGGAAAGTATTTTATAGCAAGAAAGTTACTCACCTTGTGCAGTAACGGTGGTTCTTCGAGATGTGTCCCCGGGGGTGCTCCACTCTGGGTGCTGGTGTGTCCTCGCACCGGCGACTGGAGACTTTTCTAGCAGTTTCTGCCGCGCCGCGCAGGCGCCATGGTGCCCTCTAGAGAGAGAGAGAGTCGTGTGCCTCCAAGGGGGCTGGAGAATTCGGTTCAGTGGCAGATGCAGTAGCAGGAGGCGAGGGAGGAGGTGGCCTGGAAATAGTGGAAGAGGGCCGGTGGTGACTCTTCTTCAGACGTGGCTCCCAGGGTTGCCATTGAGTGGCATATGGCGGCGTGGATGCGGAGGGGTAGGGTATGCATATTGAACAGGAGCCAGCTGCCAGGATGGAGGTCTATGTGCCGGGCTAGAGTGTTGCGATGAAAACCTGCTCCTCAATTTGATACCGATGTCACTGATAGAGCGTGAAGCGACCAAAGAGCGGTGAGACCTCACAGAGCGGATAGAGGAACCCGGGGACAGCGGTGCCGAGGTGGTGTGGCTCCACACCAGGGATCGGTACCACTCTCGCCTCTGAGACGGTGTGGGGCGATGT